AACATCAACAGCGACCTGCAGGAACCAAAGGCTAAAAGGAGGATCTGGAATCAAAAGACTCATCTGGAGGAAAATGTTTTTGTCTGGATTTAATGGGGCAGAACTGGAAAACATGGCTGACAGTAAAATGATCACTGATAAGCGGCTGGAGTTTTTATGTACTATGAAGAAGCTCTGTGGATACAGTGGAAGTTGTTTTTATGTCTTCATGTGAAACTTTCATTAAAATGACACCGTATGGGATTTTAAACACAGTCAATGAGAGGCTGTTAAAATGCACTGTGGTTCTTTCTCATCCTTTTCCATTTAATGACTGAAAAATGAAGCTGTTTATTTAATATACACGCATCACAGGTTATTGATTCACCTAAGAGGTTATATGATTGACTGCAGTTTGGGCGGTGAAAAACAAAGACGAAGCAGCTAGATGACCTTTTAGCTTTATGTGAAATGGTCCATTGACGTCTATAGAAATGCTAATCCTTTTCTCTACAATGCATCCACTTTAATCTGCTTAAATAGGAATAAAGGTGAAACCTCCAAGCACATGGGCTCCTAGGTAAGGTGGTTAACTCCAAGTTTCCTGCTGATCCACACAAACTCCACTAGATAAATCCGTCTTCAATGTAGAGCTTTTAAATGGTCATTAGGATATAAACCCCTGTACTACTTAACCTCACGTCTATCCTGCATGCAGGCAACCTAGTGGTTAAGGCATAGAGCTTGGAATTGTGAGGTTATAAGTTCAAAACCCACTCCCACAGACTCCACTCTGGGTCTCTGAGTAAGACCCTTAACCCCTGATTGCTCCCTGGGTGCCACACAATGGCAGCCCCCTGCTCCCCAAGGGGATGGCTTAAAATGCAGAGGTAAATTTCTCCAATGTGAGATCAAGTTCAATTATTATTAGAGGCTTTTAAAGTCATGAACTGGACTAAAAGGCCATTATTTCCAGGAAATATTGGTCCAATATATGCAGATGTGTTAGGAAATACAGCCTTCATTTAAAATGATGTTTCCAGTCTTTATAAAGAATTAGGAGTTGTTTCAAGATAAAGGAGGAAAATATTGATCCTGCCTGGTTAATCAATGGATTAATAAGCGCAATATTGAAATAAATGAAATACCTTTAGCCTTCAAAGCCACTGGGCTTTAACAATTTTTTTCTTGAGTATTCGCATTTTTTTTTTTTAAATCAATTTAAACACAATATTCCATGCATTTGAGCATTTAAGTTTTCTTTATAAAAAAAAACCCCAAAGCTATCAGAGCATGGGTGGCTACTGCTGTTACATTTTTTTTTGTGTGTCTTTGGTACCAGATTAGATAAAAATGAATTCCTTAAAAAGTATTTGACCTTTTTAAATGTGACTAGAAAAATCTAGGAAAACGTTATATTTGCTGTAAGCCAAGTAGGGGACATGTTAAAGAATATCTCAGTAAATACTTGGAATTTATTTCTGTTCATAGAAATAGAACCCGTTTAATCCAACTTTTACATCACAGTGAGTTAGACAGTTCTGTTAAAGTCTACAGTGAAGGTCTGTTTTACAGCGGGGAGACGTGGAGTTCCTACACCAGGGTTTCTGCGGGTCTTTAAAAATTATTAGAAGTCATTAAATTATTATTTTTAAAATTACTAGTTTTTTTAAATAATCTTAATTAGCATTAAAATTAATTTAATGTGATAACTGTGGCATTTAATATATATAAAAAAACATTTATAAGAACAATTTCACCAGATATATATTGCCATATATTTGTTCGGAAGGGGAAACACAGAGAATGGGAAAATGCAAATGTCAACAAAAGTGGCTGGAATTCAGGATATTGCTGCAGACTGTCAATGGTAAAGATGATGAAGGATATATATCTATATAGATATAGTTACTCATTCCTGTATAAACGCTGTTTTCCAAATTTTTTCCAACTAAACTTTATTTTGAAAACAGTGCAGGATTTATTTTTAGCCAATCAAAAATAAAAGGTCATTGACCCATGCACAGCGCTTCAGTTCAAGTCCAGCACTAGTTTACAGTCATGATTGTAGGAATGAAAAGTCTTTTTCCACACATCACTCCCTCCATACTGTGCTGGTAAGTGTAATTAGTCCTAATTTAGCATCATCAGAGTTCCAGCTTTGTTTGCAGGGTCAGGTTTAAGTAAATAGCCATTCTCTTATAGCCAACTTCTAAAGAGCAGCACACACCTGCATTAAAACGGAATAAATTACTATTTAAATATGTGCTGAAAACTGCAATCAACTAAAGAAAAGAAGAATGAAGTGTAAATTGAAAGAAATTGAAATACCGGTGCATTTTTTAGAACAGTTGCAGTAAAGTTCTTGGTCTTTTTGCATGGAGTTTGCATGTTCTCGCTATGGATGCATAGGTTCTCTCCAGGACCCTACTGAGGGCTTTTTAACTGCTATTAGTGTGTTTTTCTGTGATGGACTGGAAACCTGCCCGCGGTGAACCCACCGACCGCCCTGCCAGTGATCATGAAGAAGGTAAAGACATTAGAGGGATGGATGTTGGGGGTATCAATAGCTGTTATTGGATGCGTCTCCAACTACAGCCACATTTGGTTATCTTTTTCAGAAAATCCAACATATCTTTCTAGAAATAGTTAGATTTGTTCTACTTCATCACCAAGTGCAGAAACAATAACTGATTATAACTGGTTATAATGAAATTACATATTCTATCACATTTCTGTTTAAATCTCATTAGATATTGGCATGCTAATCTCTTTTTTGGAGTTAGCATGAAATGTACTCAAAATAAACCATACATTTTTTTTTTCTTTCTTTGAAAGGAAAAATAGAACAAACCTCTTGGTTTTACAAAACTTTACCCTGATTTTTTCTCTTCCAATCATGGAGCCAACACTGCTATCCTACCATTAGCTCTCCTGTCACATAACTGATGTGGTTGCAAAAAGACAAATAGTAAACTAGATTAAAACACCCCCAACATGAACTGTTCTCCCTGCTGCCCTCTAGGAAGAGGCTTTGCAGCATCTGCTGCAGGTCCAGCAGGTTCTGCAACAGCTTTTTCCCACTGCCACCAGGCTGTTGAATGCCAAACTGGACTCTGCATCATTGTTTTTGCACTACCAACGTGACTGAAACTTTTATCCTTTTAAACAGAACACATTTATACCATTATTTTTTAAACTGGTTTCTTTTTTTCTCCAACATTCTGTACAATCTGATCACTGCTACACTTTATATTGGTAATATTTATCTTACTCCAACTGCAATATCATAACACTGTTGTAAGCTGTATGCAACACAATTTTGTTTTTTATACACTCTGTGAATAAAAAAATGGCAATAAGTTTTAAGTCTAAAAGTTACATTTTGTGGAGAAAACGACAGTGATACCAAAGGACAGGTGGTCTTTTTATGAAAAAAAAACCTAATATATCTTTCAAGCATTTTACTTCTCATTAAAATAAGGAAATTCTGCTATTTTCTAATAACGTTGCTGTTGAATCAAATATAATTTCAGTCTAGAGGGACTGAGAGTTCAAAACCTGACCAAGGAACTCTATTAATTACTATATATATTGTAATTTAGCTATTATTTCTTTGTAAGTTTGTCTTTGTGTCTAGTAAGTAGTGATGGGTCTAGCAACACCGATGCATCGCGCCCATTGAACAAATCTGTTTCTTTTCAAGAAAGTCATGTGATCAATACAGTTGTTTCTCACGGAGTGACTCACTAAACTGTGTTTAAAAATGAATCTCAACATGAAGCCTGTTTTCTGACCATGTCTTTAGTGACTGTAAATGTATTTTTATCTGTATTGTAATTTTCAGAAGCACTTTGTGACCTGTGTGTCTGTGAAAGGTGCTATATAAATAAACATTACTTACTCAATACAGTTTAGCAACGTGTCGAACGCTTCAAGATGCCTCAATGACCCATCACTATTATTAGGGGTGTGAATAATAATCGTTTTGTATCGATGCATCGATCCAACAGCCGACGATCCGATGCATCGACACGTCCGCAAGATAATCGATTCATGTTTTGTTTTTTTTCCCTCCGGTCTATTTTTATCCATTTGCTCCTGGACGTAATTCTCCCTCCCGTGCTGCGGTGGCGCTAAACCTATTTTGCCCTCCTACCGCGCTTCCTGGTTATACTCTTACAGCAGTGTGTTGCAGTAAGCTTGACACAGACATTTTTAAATTATCAATATTGAAGCGTGGTCTGTGCTGCAGGCTGTGGGTCTAGAAACGGCCGAGGCGGTGAGGAAGAGGGGGCGAGTTTAGTCTGACGACGGAGGGACATGAAGGCCAAAAAGAGCGGAGATCCAGGTGGAAAAAGGCTCCCAGCGTTCTCACGCAGCTCGCTCTTCTAGTGGGTCAAACTTGTGAGTTGTTTTCCGCAATTTCGGTCATAAAAACAAAATAAGCCGGCCTCCTGTCTGCGGTCAGCTACAATTTGGGAGAGGAGCAGCGGAGCGTCTGTGGAGGAGGCGGGACGCCTGGAGCTGAGGTATTGCATTGCACTGATTCAGTGCAGTATTTTTTGATGCAACTTTTCTATTCTGTTATTTGCTGTTGTTTCTAAAAAAACAAACAAATGCATAACGATATTACAGCTTTCATTGATTTATCTCAAACTTGACACTTTGTTTAGCCTGTAAGGTGTTAAAAAAAAAAAACAATTTACCGATTAATATAATCGAATTGTATCGTGGTGTATTCTTAAATATTGAAAATAATCGAATAGTTGGGTCAGGAAATCGATACTGAATCGAATCGCCATGATGGATGTGATTTACACCCCTAGCTATAAGTAAATGCAACATAAATAAAAATATGTTTTTTTTTCTTATTTCTGCTTGGGACACCAATGCTTTGATAGTTGGAGAATCATCCTACTATGGTGGATTATTTCATAACGTTGTTCCCCCCCACTTAATAAACTATAATTCAATGTTGTTTTTTCTAAATGTTTTACTGAGGACATACGACTGCATTATCAGATACATTTATTTTAATGCTTTCTACACATCTTAACCAGGGGAGATGATAGAAGGACAAGGTGCTGCAAGTGTTTAAAAGTCTTAATCTAAGAATTAGAGAGAATTTATTACAGTGGAAGGATCAGTTTGTTTTCCCCTTCACCTCACCAGATATGTCACGGCTATTTTAAAAACAGTTCCACAGTAATAACTGGCTAAAATGTTACAGTAATATGAAAATAAAATCTAATCTTTTAAGAAAGAGCCTCTTTGTGAGTTCGTTGATGAGTTCGCAGGTTACTCCTCTGGGAAAAACTCTTGCCACACATTTCACATGTGTATGGTTTTTCCCCGGTGTGGATCCGCTGGTGGATCTGCAGATGGCTGACGCGGTCGAAGCTTTTTCCGCAGAACGGACAGATGTACCATTTCTCCTTAACGCGCCGACTGGCTACCGTTTTGCACAACTCCGGCTCCTCTAAAACGAACAGTCTACCGTCAGGGTTGTAAGCCGGCACGTTTTTAGTTCGCCACTGTTTTTCTAAAAGGAACCCGACAGACGTTTCTCTGTCTGCGTGGTGCGACGTTTGCTGCCTTGGTTGCGATTGGCTGAAAGTCCCAGGCGCTCTGGCTTTACTTAAAGCACATTGAAGCGCCCTGTTCTCCATCATGTGCCGATCAGAATGAGCTGCATCAACTGAGTTGTCAAGTATGTCCAGAGAGTTTTGAATGAGCAAGATTTCTGAGTCTAGATTTTGCGAAAGCTGATTTGATTCTAAAAAACAGTCAGAATCATCTTCTGTGTCGCTGTCTAACACTCCCACCCAGGGCTGGGCGTCTTTCTCTTGTGGCGCTTCAGCAGAACGTTGGAGTCCTTCCACTTCATGGTGACCTGCTATGCTGCTCCTGGGATTTAAATCCACTTCCTGTTCCACAATCTCAACATCATTGTCCTCCTCCAGCTTCACTACTGAGTCCTCTATGTCTTTATTCTCACTTTCACAGCAGCCCGCCTCACGCTGCTTTGTTCCACTTTGATTAACCTCCATCTGAACAGGTAGTTGTGCTTTATTATTCCCTGAAGGCTCTGGTTTATCCTGGACGCTCTGATCCGAAGATGATGCCTGGACCGGTTCTACTGAAGGACCTGAAATTAAACAGAATGGTAATTTGCTTTGTAATCAAAAAATAGAGTTTCATAAAGCAATAAAGGATATGTTATGAGTCTTCTTGGCCAAGCTTAAAAATAATAAAAATATTAATAAAAAAAGGACAAAAAAATCCAATTAAAGCCAGAATATTTCCACAATCAGTGATGATGACCTCTGCCAAGGACGTTATGGTTCATCAGTATGCGTTTGTCTGTCTTTTCTCATATTACTATAATCCAGGGATGACCAATTTAAAATCAGCGGGGTCCGAATAAAGAAAATCATCAACCAGTAAAGGTCCGGGGACATTTTTAATTATAATGTTACTTTAAACAGAATTTAATACTGAAATAAAATGAGTTTTTTATGCATCCATGTTATACATTGAATTTTTAAATTAAAAAAAATATATAAAGTTTTTTTTGAAGTAGAAAACAAAAATTGTTCAGTTTGGAATATAGACAATTTCCTGACCCACATACGGTATTTTATAAAACACCTGAACTGACTGTTTTTTTTTTGTTTTTTTTTCTTGCTTAATGAGAGCAGTGGGCTTCATGCTGCCCTGCAAGGCTTTAAACCTGGGTTTGAATGGAGACAAAGCCATTCCAGGCTCATTCTTGAGCTTATATGTTTCTAAAAACTAAGACCGTTTGTTTTTAATGCAAACTATAGGTACCTCAACATACCAGGAAGCTAATTTCTCATCTCGATCAAAATATTTAATTTGTACTGATAGGCTTAAAAGTTTCATCAAATCCAGTGAAAACGCCCAAGAGCGCTTCTCACTACTTCATAAGAAACTTCTCATCTCAGGCCTGGATGAAGAGATGCTGAGTTTGGAAGCAGAGAACAAACATATTTAATATAATCCATGTATGATCCTAGTTATCCCTGCTACAAAAATCCACAAAAAAAAGAAGAAAATATTTGGGCAGAAACTGAACTGGCTGGATGATGAGGATTTTTTTAATATGTCAAATTAAATTAAAGTGTTCATTTCTGCATGTTTTGCTCCTGAATTTAATAATAATATAGCACATGCTCTCCTTGAGCTCCAAGGAAGTCGGAGCGGAGAAAGACGGGAGGAACAGCGGAGGCTGTAGGTGCTGCTTTGCGCAGGAGGTCTGGTCTTTTAGTGGATAGCTCTAATAAAAAACAAAAAAAAAAAAAACATAAAAACTGACAGAGAGCTCTAAAGCTGTAGTCCAGAGGGGATACATCACAACTAAATAGTGAAAAGGAAGATTTAAAATTAACACCCTGATGAGATATTTGATCTAGGTGGGTGGGACCTGGAATACATCTGAACAATGTTTTAAAAGCAATTTTTTCAATTTATTCTGATATTTAAAAATAGCTCTTAGGGAAATTGGGGCTTTTAACTGCAAAAACCCAACAGAAGAAAAAAAATAAATAAATAACTGACGAATGCCTGACATATATTTCCATGTATGTAATGAATCTACACATTATTTTAACCCTTAGGTTTAAATCATTGCAACAAATAAACAGGGTTTTCTAAATTACAGCTGCACTGTAGTAATAACTTCTTGGTACAGTGAATAAAAACCCTAATGTAAGCATTTACTGTAGATCAAATAGATGCAGGTTTAGCTGTAGTTCCAACCTTCAGCGCCAGGGGGCAGTAGATTGTTTTGGTGTTCTCTCCTCGGTAAAGATGAGGACTTATTAGCAGCTTGAGAAACAGCCGTGAAACGCTCTTTTTCCAGTGACATCAGTTTTCTGTTCAGGGCTTTAATTTCGCTCTCTCTACGGAGGAGCTCCACCTGGACCACCGCGAACCCGTCCTCCCACAGTTTGCTGATCTCCATAACGGCCGCTTTAGCCAGCATCTCCATTATGGAGGTTAGCTTGCTCTGGAAAGCCACACTGTTACTGCTGCTACTGCTGGTAGCCATGTTGCTCCGTCCCGCTGCCTCCGCTGGCTGAAGCGACGTCAGTGGGCGCTCACTGGGCCACAACAAACCCCACAGGATGAGCTGACTGTAGAGGGTCACATTAGGAGGACTGAGGCTAATTCATGGTAGTGTAGTACAATAGAAACAGGAAACGGCCACGGTCACGTGCATCTGATCTCCGGCCGCTCCTGATTGGCTAAAATCTCTGACGTTCTCGGAGTGTGTGCGTCTTTATTATTATTACGTATTTTTATTGCAATAAATAAATCTGTTTTTATATATTTATAAACAGATTTATTTATATATATATATATATATATATATATATATATATATATATATATATATATATATATATATATATATATATATATATTATCTATCTATCTATCTATCTATCTATCTATCTATCTATCTATCTATCTATCTATCTATCTATCTATCTATCTATCTATCTATCTATCTATCTATCTATCTATCATCTATCATGTCCATTGTTTTTCCGCAATTTGTCTTGATCATTAAGTGCATGGATAATGTTCATGTTTTATGTTATTACACCCACTTCATAGTTTTTAACAGTATTTTTATATAACAAAGTAGTAGTGATGCATGTTATAAAAGCACAGATAAATGCCCATGTGTTTATAATTTCAGAACCACCTATAGCAACAATTTTATGTTGTAAATCTGATTAGGTCCTGTAACCTCCATGTCCTCCATACAGTAAGTCAGATTTAAAGTTTACATGTAGAGAAACAGCAGATTTGCTTACATAGATGGATGGAGAAGCTGGATGTTCTTCAACCTTTAAGTCATATGACAGATCTTTCAGTAAATTTCTGTATTTCACGTGACTGGGCAATTCTAACTCTTCTTTCATTTAAAACCAGAGGTTGGGCTGTACAATTTAAATCATCCTTTTAGAGTGTGCAACTTTTTTGAAGCTCTAAAAAGTTATCTTATAGTTTTGCCCTGTACTTAGCTCCAAGATCTTCCCTGTCTCTATTGACGCATCTTTCACCATGTTTCATGGTCAGTGCCCATTTTTCACATGCTAGTTTACAATTAAAAAGAGAATTTTGATAAAAAGGTAAATCTTGGTCTCATGTTTTATTTGGAAGATTAACAGTAGACATTGCGTTGGAGTGGATGGGCTTATGAACTTAACTCCAGAGTTACCTAATATGGATTTTGAGAGGTTTTCTTCAACAATTGCGGTGCATTTTTCTCCATTTACCTGTATTCCCATGAAGTTTATACATGTCATGATGCCGCTACCAGGATCTTTCTCAATATACACTATATTCCCATATAAATTATCCAAGATGTTTTATCGGTTCTTTTTGTTTTAATCTTAATATATTCATAAAAGTTTTATAAATAAGTTGCAAAAAACTGCTAAAAAATATATCATCATGCAATAATATCATAATCATGCAAAACAAGCTGGCATTGTTTGTATGATAGTTTTGTTATTTGTATCTATTTACGCTGCAAATGTTTTTAAATGTGGCTTATATTCTTTTCTGTAAATGATAGAAGTGCTGAAATTGTCTTGTTATACTCTCAAAACAATGTATGATTTTTCTCTTTTCAGCTATGTATGTTTTTTCCAACTAGATATTGCTCATTTTATATATATATATATATATATATATATATATATATATATATATATATATATATATATATATATATATATATATATATATATATATATATATATATATATATATGTGAATTGTAAAGAGTTTTTACCCCCCATTCTAAAATATCATTAATAGCAAATTGATCAAAGGGAAGTCACTTGTGCTACCCATGTTTATCCATTAGGTGGGGCTTCATCTCCATAATAATAAAAGGAGGTTTTACAAAGAATAATAGAGCCCTTAAAGGTAGGCCATTTTTGAGTTAACTGGTTTAAAACTTGTTTCTACTCTTTTTTTAAAATTACCAATAACATTACATGTTATTATAGAGAACTCTATTATATGAAAGAGATTGAAGTCAGAATACTGGGAAAAAAGAATTCTGACTTTAATCGTATAATTCTAACTTTTTTCTCATATTATACTGAAATAAAATTCAAAAATCAGTTAACATTTTTTATTTTTTCAGTGGCCCCAATCCTCTTCCGTACTTTTATGTATGTTAAGTTTTTTCTTATATTACTTAGAATTTAGAGTATTAGAAGTTTAGACAGAAACAAAGGTTACATTCACCTATATTGTAAAATGCTATATGAGAATATAAATAAATTGCTAGGTAAAAAAATTGTTTCCCTTTTTGGTGTTTTTTTAAAATAACTTTCAGAGCTAAATGAGAGACTTCCAACTGTTAATGAGAAGAAGTAGAGCGCCCTTCTGATTGGCTGACAGACCTGCCCGTCAAATATGGACGGAGCCACAGCAGGGAGAAGACGGAGCTGTCAAACACCGACAGTCGTTTGAAATATTATCACAGGAGCGGATAACAAAACCACATTACTTTCCCAATGTATAGATTAATGAACGACAGCGGCAGACTTTGTGCTTTAGTTTGGAACCCAGCAGCTGGAAAATGGACTTTTAAGGCGTCGTTGACAGCAACTTGTTGTTAAGTGCGCGTTTGGCTCCCCCTCATAAGCTAATGTTAGCTTTTCGCTTCGCTCCAGTTTTGTTGACAAAACCAGCCGATTGGCGAGTCGTTCAGCCAGCTGCGGTGTTATTTTCTCAGAAATGTCTCCGGGTAGAAGCATGGTTTCCATCCCGGACTCTTCTCGGAACCCTCTATGTGAAATAAAACAAGGTGAGTAAACTTTGAGCGCTGACATGGAGAATGGCCCCTGCCTTTGGTGTTTGTTTACATTTCCCTGTAGAGTTTTTAATAAATGATAATGTAGCAGAAATCCACCTGACGCAGCTGCTCTGTATGCTGCCACATGCATCCAGGTAGAGGGAGGTTTTTCTCATCAGGTTGCTCCTTATTGTAAACCATTGCAGAATGACTGGCATGCACCTTTCCCACTGTAGATTGTGGTCAGATAACAAACTGTTTGGCCTTCTTGTTGTTTTGTGTGACCTTGCTGAAATAAGCCCAGTAGCTTACACAATCATTTGTTTTAAAATGGTTTGCATAACTTCAGTCAGGAGAGGCGAGCAGCTTATTCATGTATCTCCTCTTTTCAAATCAAATAATCTTTATTTATAAAGCACATTTTAAAAAAGACATTTGAACACAATCTTACCTAAAATATTTGCCTCGAAACTTAAATGAATACCAGTTTTTTCCCCAGGCTGTTGAATGATGAAGGTTGCCCTTGATGGAGGCATGTTAACCCTTATAAGTTATTCAGATAATGTTCTGACTGGCTGCTCACTCCTGGGATGGTTAAGCACTATTCCATTAGTTTGATAATGACTTCCACTGTGCTCTGCTGGAGGCCCAACTCCTCTAGAAATGGCAGTGTAAGCATTTCAAGACTGCTACCTTGTTTTTCTTATATGTTGTTGTTAAAGATCCTTTTGCCTACTTCATGTAGTCAGACTGTTCCATATTAGTGACCTTTTGCTTCTTCAGGTGTGGTTCAATTTTTCACTGGTGTCTACAGACTGTAAAATGTGCCATTTGCTGAAAGTTAAATCTATTTAGAGCAGCAAGAAAGCCAGAAAATAAGTAAATAATACTCCATTAAGATCTATCTATCTATCTATCTATCTATCTATCTATCTATCTATCTATCTATCTATCTATCTATCTATCTATCTATCTATCTATCTATCTATCTATCTATCTATCTATCTATCTATCTATCTATCTATGTGGAAGTGAGGGCAACTAACTAACTAACTAACTAAGCACATTTTGCTCCCTTGAAGCAGTCATTAAAATAATAAATCAGCTAGATTATCCAATATTATGATCTTTGAATAAATTTTTTCAACATATTTTTGCCACTTGCAATTTGTTTTTAAAATAAGTATTATTTATTTGTGTTAGGGTAAAGCGTTTGTTGTTGAGAACTGTTGGCCAATATAATATTTAATCATAAAAATAATAATAAGATCAATTATTTACTTAAACTGACAGCAGCAGCCCTGGTCTGGTAATAATCGAGACTTTAGTGTTGCTCAGGAAAGTTAACTCAGTTTTTCAGGAATATTTGAATATAAACAGTTAATTCTTTACATTAGAAGGGGTCACTTATTAGTATTTATGTTATTTATTAACCTTTTCTCTTGATAAAGGCAATCATATTGTTTTAACTGTATTTCACAGCAGTGTAGAGAATAAAACTGGCTACATGAGGCCTTCTTGAGGAACACCTCAACTATCATCAACTGCATCAATGCTAGATTAAAATTTAACATTTAAAACAACAATCGATTTTGTATTATTCTGAGATCGTAGTTTTATGTCATTACTAACTTTTAACCTACTTTAACCCACTACTAACCCACTGTTTCAATGCTTTAACGGTTTCTTTACCTGATTTTCTTTTTTCTTTTTTTCTTTTAAACCTGTGGATTTAAAAACTTCATGACCTTTTTTTCCAAATTGAAAAAGGAACTGCGGCTCTAGGTTGGTTTGGAATGATTTAAATTAAACATTAAACTGTTTGCTGCATCCATAAACATTGTAGCTTCACTTAACTTGTGATTTATTGATGACATGTCCCATTAGCCTGTAATCTGCCAGGACACAGCTGGATAGCTGTTCAGTGCCCTTCTCCCACCGCTCCTACAGTATTTGGCCTGAGGCTGCTTTGGTGTGATGCCCCATCTGTTTTGGAGAAGCAACAGGCCACATTTTACACACAGGAAAAGGCAGCCTTTGACATTCCCCCCTTTTTCCACCCAGTGTCTCTTTAGTGTGGTATTTTAAATGCATACCATTCAAATACAAATTCAGAAGGTTATAGTTTGGAAACAAATCTAGTAATCAACATGGGTGGCTGTTGTTTCTATTTGTATTTTATCACTTTCAACATCTCTGAGGGTTATTATAGATGGGAAAAATATAGGTCTGTGAAATATGAGCTTATTTTGCTTGTTTGTTTCATGACATAAATTCTTCTTCATTGGATCTTTGCCAGAATGGAAAATGCTAAAACTTTCCCTGTGATTTGGGCAGACTCTCTAGACCAGGGCTCTGTGGGGCCACTTGTGGCTCTTCAGGCCCTCCTCAGTGGCTTTTAATAGCTTGGTGGAAAATAAAACAGAACTGAGAAGGGTTTGTAATAAAGACTACTATATTTAGTCGTTTTCAGCCAATAACTTCACTTTATTTCCATACAAAAGACACTAAAGGTGCTTGGATTAATTGATTTTACTTAATCGTTTTTGTGATCAGTAAAGAGCACTCACTGAAGCAAATGTGTTCAATTTCAACAATAAATTAACTTAATTCTTCTATAGACTATAAAGCTGCAGAACCCTGATTTTCGTTGTTATTGATTTCATTATTTCCTTTTATTAATCCAAAAGATATCACAGCTCTGTAATAATCAAAACAAAATTAGCTTAAAAGATTTTTTTTATGATTTTTTTTATGATTTTTTTTATATGAAAAGTAAAAAAAAAAAAAAACACAAACACCATGTAAAAGTTAACAGAAGGGGGGTGGGGGTATATTCTTGGAAGATTGTCCAAACACTCCCCAGACAGTAGCAACAAAGGCAGCATTTTGGCTCTTATCTGTCCTCTCAGTGGGTTTGTTTACATGCAGAGAAGCAAAACAGCTATTGATCTTAAACCTAAAACTGCCTTATGTCACGATTAGGATGTTTACTTACATTTGTCTCTACCATTTTCAAATTTTTTTCCAGTTTACAGCGCCTTACAGAGGTATGCAGACCTCTTTAACCATTGCCATGTATTATCATGGTACAACAGCAATCATCATTGTATTTTATTAAATCTTTTATTTGTTTTGAACTATAATTCTACGTTCAGACCACAAGCAGCCCATGCAGCAGGAGCAGCTAGTTTACATGCATAGTCAATGGTTGACGTGCATCAAGGTACAGAAAAAGGTGCTGCTACGCGTCTGAGCAGCTGACGCTCAAACCCAGCAGCTCGTGGAGTTGGAAAAATTCAACTTTTGGTGCTCGACACGCCACATCAACCAATCAGAGAAGCTGATCTGAGAGCTGGTAGGGAGACAAAGTACTGATGAAGATGCAGCGTGCTGTGATCACGCCTCTGAAACAGTTTATTAACGCCTAAATTAACGTCAAATGTCGAAATCTGCCGTCAAAACATGTTCGCTTTTATTATCCTGGTGCCTGCAGTTTGGATTACGTACATGAAAACCGCCTTCCAGCCACTGCAGCGAACCGCGAGGAGGCGACTGGGCCAGAGGCTGCTGTTGAGTGGGATTCCCAGTGATAGCGCACCACCAGTGTATGGGGGTCTGAGCGGCTCTGACAGAAATAATATCTAATGGCAGGATGGTATTCTGGATGAACTGAATGCACACATGAAGTTTTCAGATGGACTTTTCACTGAAAAACATATTAAAACTACTTTTTACCCGCTGATCACAGCAAATATGGCTGCCATTGTTGCAGGCAAAGAAAGGATAGGGTAGCTCCGCCCAACGCGCATCAGACCCACTTTTCCACCGCGTAGCTAGAGCAGCAAAGATGCTTCAGCCGTTCGTCAGAACTAAACTTCTACAAGCATCAAAAATGAAGGAGCACACGCGTTTTTGCTGCTCTTGCTGCTAGCGGTCTGAACGTAGCATAATAGAAAAAAAAAAAAAATAAAATTGTAGTACTGCAAGGTGACTTTCCACACCTTGCAGTACAACCATAGAAATTGGTCTCCATTGTTATCTTCCAGCTTCCTATTCCCAGCTAAAGAAAAGCATCCCCATCACATGATGCTGCCACCACCATGTTTTACAGTTAGATTACTAGGATCAGGTTATGCACAATGTTTGTTTTCTGCTTTTTAGATAATAACTTTTCCCTGTTTTAAACGTCACCACCATCCTTAACACCGGCCCCTCTGCTGATCCTTGGACTGATGCTTTTTTTAAAAGATATTCTCTAACCAAACCCCTGAGGTCTTCAGTGTACATTAATTAGGTGACTTCTAAAGTCAGGTGTGTGTTTTTGATCCAATTAAATTTAAAGTTTAAGAGAAAAAAAACAAAACATGTATCAGTAAAAATAGAAACAACCAAATATAATTTTTCCCTTTTACTATTACATATTACTTTGTGGTAATGTGTCACATTGAAGCCTTTATATTTTATAGAAGTTTGTAGTTGTAATTTGATAAATATGAAAAACTGTGACGGAGTGCGAATCCTTTTGAAAGCCACTATTCCAGGATGACCTGGTTAGTGGTAGCGCTGCCTCATAAACTGTCATTCTGCATTTATTTATGTGCCTGAACTCGGGGCATTGGTTTGGCTTTTTGTTTGTGCTCTCAGCCATCCCGCTCTGTTGGAGTCCAGGACGGCATGGGAAGGTCAGTGTTTTGCAAGATGCAAGATGTTTTTTTTTTATAGTTAGGAGTAGGGCTGAATGATTTTTCTCATTTTTTCAACCAATATTGCGATATTTTCTTTTTAGTTGTCATGACCTTGAAAGCTTGCATGTCTAGAGTCCATTGATGCAGGATGTGCAGAAGTGCTTATGTTTGTTTATGCATGGATATTTTCTCCTTCGCATAGCTGCCAACCCCCTTTAAGTGAATTACTGCCACCTGAGTCAAAAATCGTATTACTCCTGTTAAATGTAATGTGACCAAAACTTTGCAATTGGGATGGGAATACAAAACCGGTTCTTGTTCAGAACCGGTTCCGTGTGATCCAATTCCATGGCACCGTTAGGCAGCTCGCTTAACGATTCTCTCAACAATTCCAGGCAGCACCAGAGCCTAGCGCTTCACTTCACGTTTTTTACGCAAGTTACGCACACGGCATTCAGTAAGCAAGTACGACGTGACCAGGCGTAAGTCTAGAAGAGCAAATAAACCAAAATGGCGTCCCATCGGGTAAACCGATCGAAGGTTTGGCGTCATTTTAAGGAAGCGAAAGATACCAACAAGGTGCTTTGCAATCATTGCAAAGTGGTAATAAAATCCGTGGGAGGAAATGCATCCAACATGTAGAAACACCTGCGCACACAACCTGGCATGCATTTTTACGAATGCCGTGTTTTTGATGCTTCCGGTCAGAAGCTAAAGCTTCTGCCAGGCAACTGGTGGCAAGTAGATAGTTTTATATGCTACGAAGTTGCTCTGCGAGTTCAGGGAGCGAGAGAAAGGTAACACTCGTTTATTTAAATCAGGGGGAGATGAGTTTATTTCCCGAAATTGTACAGTAATGCTTTTTCATTAAACGGAATCGATGAGAGAATCGAATCATTTCACAGAATCGATAAGGGAATCGGAATCGTGAAAATCTTATCAATTCCCAACCCTACACTGCTATTTGAAAATTGTGTTTATATTGCAAATATAATTAATTACTCAGCCCTCACTTTTCATAGGCATTCCTGGTAAAAAAAAAAAAAAGAATGCCTTTCTTCAAAGCAGCAGCAATTCATATTCAAGATTATCTTTTGACCTCCTTCAGTTGGCCTGAGCTGGAATAAGTTATGGTTTTACAGATTATTCTATTTATGCATCATCGATCTAACAACTAACTGCTTTTATTTAAAGCGACAATATTTCTATTATTTCAAAAATAGGACTTTACTGTTGGAGATCCTTGTCGTGTTGTCTAAACAGTTTTTTCTGTTGTGTTTTTTTTCTTCTAGAACAAACTCTGGCTATATCACAAACATGCTATTCATATTAATAGGTTTAAAACAGTGTGACCTTTAGAAAAGAATGAGTTATTGTTCCCCCACAGGATAATGCTACCACCGAAAAGTTTTTCTCATTTAAATCAAAAATATTTTTACATTTATTTTTTGTTCTGAGGGAAAAGTGCAGTCGCTCTCTTTCAACCAAGTGACGGGCAGTAACACAGCAACAGGTGGGAAGGAGAAGGGCAGTTTTAAGTTACTCTGTGTACAAATAGACTAAATCTAATAAAATAAATCTCATTAAAAGGACCTGAAACTTTAGCTACACTACGATTGCAAATCAGTTTCCAACTCCTTAAAGGTTTGGAGCGTAACAGGGCCAAGCCAGAGCACTGATGAGCATATTTGCAGGAATAAGTGTTGATGCATGTGCTCATGTTTGGTTAAAAAAGGGTCAACCGCCTCATGTGTGGGCGTGAAAACTAAATGTCTTACTGTCGCCTCTCTGCGTTATGAATAAAGAGTGAGCTAATGTTGTACACCCTGACCTATTCTCGTCTCCTCGCTCACTTCCTCACTAAAAGGGTGATTCTGCTTTGCTTCTTGAACCCTTTTGGGATTACAGCAGGAAAGATTTGGGCTTGTGTTTTTCTTGGCACAGGAAACTTTTTTTTTTTTCCTGGCATACCACATTAGCATGGCATAAAATAATGTGTCATTGATTTAAAAAAAAAAAGGAAAAGGGTAGAACTGGGAAAGAAATGGATCTCCTAACCCTTCCAGCTGGTTAGCAGCAACCCTACAAATTATTATACATCTGATGACATATAAGGAGTTTCTAATCCTTATAAAACTCATTTAAGTTACAGAATTAAATCTTCAAATTCTACATCGATTCCCCTTTTGATAATAAATCATCTTTACCTATGCTATAAATTTCTTAGCGCGAACACTGATGTTTTGCTTTGTTTATGCAAACATCATAAACTGATAACAGTGGACAAATAATTGCTCAATAAAGACTGGATGATAAGAGGACATTTGATTGGATTATGTATTCATTGCGCACAGATCATCAATCTGCTCAAGTCCAGAATACAGCCAAGCTGCCTAATCTGAGCTATTTTTCCTTTATATATTTTCTAAAACTGAAACAATAAATTTAGATTACTGTTGATTATTCGATTATTGAAATAATCATAAGCTAATTTAGTAATCGATTAATCGTAGTATAAAGACCAAAATATGCCTTTAGCTGACAGAGAAACCCAATTAGAGTACTGCTCTAATTTTTTTTTTTGTGTGTTTTTTGTTTATTTTTTATGATTTTGGTGTAAACATTTTACATTTAGGGTAAAAACAAAATTTCCTCTGTTAATATTTTCTATCTATAAAAGTGGAAAGTTTTGCTTTAAGGAATGTATTGCTTTCCCGTTATTGAAAATCCTCGCCTTATGTGGGATGGCGATGTTTTTGCGTTTTAACTTTTTACCGTTATGTTCTGCTGCGTGTCTTTTGCATTTCCTTGCTGATTTGATCCATAGGATTGAAGAGCATCTTTGATGTGTTTCTGTTCTTGGTGCCTCCCTTCTGTTTTATTAGGGACAAGCTAGTGTTGAAACTTTCTGATGACAGAAAGTTTGTGTTCCACTCGATAGTTTGAGGTACTGTTGCAATTTTCCTTCAAGAGTAGCAGGATGCTGGGAGACATGTTATATATGAAAGTTAAAAAGTATGTATAAAAGGTGTAAGGTGTATAAAAGATATATTTTTCAGTGTAGTCTTTATATTAATGAGAAAAATTTAGAGCTCAACCTAGTTTGTTGAACTACAGAGTGAATCTTCCTCTTCTTTATTTTTATTGAAGAATCTAAAAAAACACCCTAACCCTAACCTAGATTCAGAATGAAAAGGCGCTTTAGCCGCAGACTTCCTGTCCTGCTCCTCTTTGTACCCTGCTGACTTTGTTTTAGCTGGCAGGACGGTCCAAACCTGAACTATTCCTTGGCTTATCTCCAGTAATGGGACAATCAGCCACTATTACAACCATTATGGAGCCTAATGAACAACAGTGGTTGGTCTTATTACCGTAATCCACAGATCAGTCTTAGTCTGCAGAGGCTGCAAAGAAAATCCACCTGTTGCCCCTTGTGTTCGTTATTTGTGTATATGTGATCTTTGAGACGTGTTTGTTTGGAAAAAAAACACATGACAAAACACTTGATTATTTCATAAAAAGACATTTCTCTTATTTCGTTTCAGCTCTTCAAGGATAGTCGGGTATGTGAAGATCATTCTGGACAACTGATGCAAAAAACCGTGAGGAATTGGACTGGTTGGTAACCCTTTAGGGCATGAGAAACAGGAGCTTCACCGTGAAAAAAGAAGCTGAAATCTATGTGTGTGATATATTTCCTACCACAACACAAACTGAGCACACGCATCGCTGCTGAAACCCTCGGCACTGTTTAGACTATCCATTCCTCTTGTCATGAGGGTACGTTATAGAAAAAGGCCCATATCACCTTCTTTCACATCGCCATGGACCGGAACAAACGCAACTCCATTGCTGGGATCCCAACATGGCCGGAACGCCTCCAGGAGGACAGGGACGGGCCTGGAGGCGAAGGGAACAGTGAGATGGGCCCGCCTTCACAGGTCAGGATTTAAACCTTTTTGTTTTCATATTTGTGTGTTTGCTAGAAGAATGCAAACACCTAATAATAGATATTTCTTTCTTTCTTAATCATTTTAAGTCTCAATAACCATTTTCCCCCTTCAGTAGAGCCTGTCTTTTCGGTTGAAGAGAAAGGGTCCTATCTGCTTCAACTCACAAAAATCTAATATAGATTAAATGGAAAACAAACTGCTATAATGATCTAAATTGAATAATGTATGAATTTTTTTTAAATTTTGTGTAATTGTACTAAGTAAAGTGAAAATTGATCAATATAGAGGTTTGCAATCAGCTTTAATGTGGCTCTTTCATCCTTTCACTCCGGCTCCTGGACCAAACGTGAAACACAAAAAAATCTGTTGATTTACTTATTTTCACTGAGGTGGGCTATCTGTTTTTCCAAAGATATTATAATCATAATATACGTTGCATCATTTTAAAGGAAAAACAAAAAAATTTAAGTTTTTATTCTTATATTTTTCCTCTTTTTTTTCTTTCTTTTTTTTACTGGAAATGGAATAAGTAGTATTGAGTTTTTTTTAGCTACTGTTGCTTTTCCATCATCTTGAATCATTGGTCGTCAACAGGGTATTTCTTTCTCTTCTCATCCACTTACTGGATGTTTCCTACTTTTGGAACTTACTTAGTAAATTGCAGAGAGATTTTTTTTTTTTCCGAGGGAAATCCCAGTAGATTGGGCATTTTTAGCTCTAATGGCCAGCTCTCATTTGAAGTCACTTAAATCCCCTTCTCTAAGCTTAAAGTTGTAGGGAAGTCATATTTAAATGTCAAATCATTCTGGCTTAAACATGTATATAAATGTACTCTTTATCAGATGATACTGTCCCAAAAGTTAGAAAATTTCTATTTAAAGAAATATACTGTCTTAAAATAAGTTTATTGATTTATTTTTTTTTTTTTATAATTTTATTTTTTTATTTTTTTATTTTTTATTTTTTTATTTTTTTATCTTATGCAGGCCAGTTAGTCATACGTCAGCTTGTACATCAAAATTCGGCCAATCATATATCAATGCTCATCTGTCAATCAATTTTTTTCAGTCAAAGCATCTTGATTCATATGTCGCAGCTAATATATGGTTTAACAATGGTTAAATTAAGAATAATTTCCTTTCCCATTGAGTTCCATCCCAGTGTTCACGGGGATGGACGTCTGTGTCTTCAGCAGGCGTAGAGCTAACAGAACTGGCAGCTTTGCGAGGCAAGGGCTCAAACATGTACGGCTGAACAAAAAGGTTTTCTCATCAACTAAACTATAAAATTATAAATTCTAGAGCTAAACAATTTCGTCAAAAATGAAAGGTGATATAGGTGACAATTATGTAGATTAGAGACCGGCTTCAATATTTCTGGCTCATATTGCTGCTTTTCCTCTTTCTATTGCTCCATATATTTGCATGTGCTCGAATTTGCCCCCTAAAAACATCCGCAGCACTTATTGGGAATCTGTTAGACTGATGTCAGAAATGTCCATGTTGGCGTCTGCCTCTAAAAACCCATTGGTCGATCTTTAATATAGATATTTCATTGTTTTCATGACCTTGAAAACTTGCCTGTCCACAGTGTTAGGACTTTACTGTTACTTTTATGTGGAAAAGTGCTTATTTCTATTCGTATGCACAGATCTACACACTAGCAGAGACTCTCTGCCTTTCTGAGGGGTGACTTAACCACTTTAAGGCGCTTTAAGGGTTTTACTTAAGGGCCTGAGTGATGAAATCTGTGTCTTACTCTTTTTGAGTGTAATTTGATAAAAAATTAGATCCTTTGCTTTGAAACTTCCATTTAGTTAAACTGTTATTATATAGCAAATGCATTTATTTCCCAGCCCTAATGGATTTAGGATCATTTTCATATGGGGAAAAACCTTTTTTTTTTGATCTGCTAAAACAATAATATGGACAAAACATTTAACCTCCAGTTCATGAATTTCTATTGATTTTGGACATTTTAAAGTTTATCATTAAGCAGTAATAAAGTTTGGAATTCTGAGCATGAGCATTGTGTCATGTTTAACCTGTTTGTTCTTGTTTTATCCAGATGGGCAGGGTGTGTCCGTCCTCCTACAGAGCCCTCATCAGTGCCTTCTCGTGTCTGACACGCCTTGATGACTTCACCTGCGAGTGGATCGGCTCAGGGTTTTTCTCTGAAGTCTTCAAGGTGGGTGAGATCTGAAATTACCCCCCTAGTTAACTCCTCTGATGTTTCTTTTTATGATGCTGAACCTACAAATCCTTTGGTTTTTCTTTCCTTGTCCTCTAATTTGTTTTCACACATTATGACTCCTTCTACAGAGTCAGTAAAGTGGTCATAGCCTCTACTTTTCATTTCTCATAGATGACAGAATATCATATAAAAAACGAGCACGGAAGTTTAACCCTTTTTAAAAATTAGGAACTAAGCAATATTTGTTTTTATTTTATTGGACCCTGTCAAGTTAAGATAGTTAAGTGAGCTTTAAGCTATCTTCACCATCTTCCATAACCATCCTTGCTTTGACGTTTTGAGGTCAAGTTAGGCGCCACTTAAACACCGCCTACCTCCCAGGCATATGACCGGAGGTCACTCAGACACTTTCGCAATTGCAAACTGTTTTACAAAACATTGTTTACTGGACAGTATTTTTTAGTCCTAAATAATACAGCTGTGCTTGAAAGTTTACACACCCTCCCATTAAAGAAAACTATTAACTCCCACTTGTAATTAAACAAACACAAAACTGAAAACAGAAATAATTATAACAAAAATACTAAATCGTAATTTAGTAAAATGAAAAGAATTCTTTAAAAAAAAATGTCCCTGACAAATAGAAATACTTTGCTAATGAACGGTGAACATAGCTGTCAACAGGTGCAGGAGTCTGACTGAATGTCTGCTGAACTTTACAGAAATCACCTGATTTCAGTGATAATTGCCTCAAAATGTTGCTCAACAAAATGTTAGTTCAGGAGTTCCACTTCTTTACTTAATTTCTTTATATGTGGATTGGTATGTATACTTTCAATTGTGTATATATGTGTGTATATTTTAATTTTTTGTAATTTTCAGCTAAATGTTTTGGAGGGTAACAATTAAAAAACTTTTTTGTTCTGCCATTTAAAAATGTAGGTCTAAACAGATTTCTTAGTGACACTAAGTGTTTAGCTGCATTAATGTGCTTTTGACAGTTGGATGTAAGCCCCTGTGACACGGGCGTCCAGGTGTCGCAGTGGTTAGCACGCACGACCCATGTACGGAGGCCTCTGTCCTCAACGTAGGCGAGCCGGGTTCGATTCCGGCCTGTCTCTTCCCCTCTCTCATACCCCCTTTCCTGTGTTCTAGACGACCGCTGAACGTGTTTCTGCTGTATAATGCTTTATTGGCAGCGTTTTGGTATGAAGGGGGTTCACAGTCAGTCAGTTCTCCTCCAGAAAGCGAGTGTGATGGATCCTCCATGCGTTAACACCCACGGCCACGACCAACAAACTTCCCAGACATGACGCTGAATCTTCTGCGACTACAAGCCCTCTTTCTTTCTTTTACTCTTTGTTTATATATTACGTTTTTTAGTAGTGGTTGGTAACAGCAGCTAGGTTAAAGGAATAGTACACCCAAAATATGATTAGCCTTCATTTTCTACTCACCCCCATGCTGAACAACACCCTGGAGTACTTTTTTGATATCTCAAATGCATCTGGAGATCTGGGAGGCTTCTTGCTGTCTGCTGACATTCAAATAATGGAGGTCTATGGTGACCGAGACAGAAAGGTCCATAAAAGTCTACAAAAAACGTGTCAATATTCCTCCATACTGCTCGTCCAATGTATTCCAAGTGTCCTGACTCGGTAGCATCCAGAATTTACTCGAAACAAAGTCATTTAGAATGTTTTTAGAGCATAAACAGTAGTGTATAGGATTTCCTGAAAGCGCGCACATGCGCGATCACGAGGCTACGGAAGCCAGCAGACCAAACCAGATGAAAAAGCGCATTCAGCGTCTGCTCTGCCGATAATGCAAGCGTAGAAGAAGAAATGTGCTGTTTACCTGTGCAAAGAAAGAAACAACGAAAGAAAAATGTCTGAGGACTTCAGTGTTGAGGAAGAGCAGGAGTTCTTTGCCGAGCTGAATGCGCTGGTTTGGTCTGCCGGCTTCCGTAGCTTCGTGAGCGCGCATGTGCGCGCTTTCAGGAAATCCTATACACTACTGTTTATGCTCTAAAAGCATTCTAAATGACTTCGTTTCGAGTAAATTCTGGATGCTACCCACTCAGGACACTTGGAATACATTGGACGAGCAGTATGGAGGAATATTGACACGTTTTTTGTGGACTTTTATGGACCTTTCTGTCTCGGTCACCATAGACCTCCATTATTTGAATGTCAGCAGACAGCAAGAAGCCTCCCAGATCTCCAGATGCATTTGAGATATCAAAAAAGTACTCCAGAGTGTTGTTCAGCATGGGGGTGAGTAGAAAATGAAGGCTAATCATGTTTTGGGTGTACTATTCCTTTAATACCGCGATTAAAGACGTCTTTTTATGCTGGTGGGGTGCCTCAGGCGCATTGATGCCCCCCTCAGGACACTGGCTTGTAGGGTTGGGAATTGATAAGAGTTTAACGATTCCGACTCCCATATCAATTCATTAGAACGATTCGGTTCCTTATCGATTCCGTTTAATGAAAAATTATTACTGTAAAATTTAGGGAAATAAACTCATCTCCCCAGATTTAAATAAACAAGCGTCACTTTTCTCTCGCTCCCTGAACTGTGGAGATACATTGTAGCAACTTCCTAGCATCCAATATTCATTAAAAATTTCATTGCATACAATAGTTAGAATCATGTAAGAATTCCAGCTACCAGTAGTTCTAATTAAACATGCTATCAATGAAGGGCTGGATTAACGAGGAAGGCACACTCCCTTAATAACCACAAAGAGAAGAAGGAAATTGGTTTATTTCCAGAAATGACATTTTATTTACTAGGAACCACATTAAGCACAGCCAGTGATATAAAACTAGCTACTTACCACCAGAGTTGCCTTCCATGCTGGTCGTAACTTTAGCCTCTGTCTGGAAGCATCAAAAACACAGCATTCGTTAAAATGTATGCCATATTGTGTGCGCAGGTGTTTCTGCACGTTGGATGTATTTCCTACAGCCGATATAATCGCCACTTTGCAATGATTGCAAAGTGCCTTGTTGGCATCTTTCTCTTCCTTAAAATGAAGCCAAAATGAAGCCTCAATCTCTTTACCCTATGGGGCGCCATTTTTATTTTCATTTTTTGGTTTTCTAGTCTTATACCTGGTAACATTGTACTGGCTTACTAAATGCCGTATGCGTAACTTGTGTAAAAAACGTGACGTAAGTCGTGCTGCCCAGAGCTAGTCTCTGGTGCTGCCTGGAATCTATAAGAGAATCGTTAAGCGAGCTGACAAACGGTGCCATGGAACTGGAACACGGAACCAGTTCTGAACAGGAACCGGTTTTCGATTCCCATCCCTACTGACTTGTGTATCATTTCACGGGCATTACACTTAAGTTATGAAAAAAGTTATGAAAAGGCCGTCTTTGGACATAAGTTCTGGACTCGTTATGAATACTTTCTATATATGCCCAAAATTGAAAAGATCCATAGAAAATTCAGCATATCCCAGCATTTTAGAAGATTCTGGGACATCTGGCATATGCTGGCTAAATCGTCAAGTTGTGACAGAAGGTTTTAGACTGAGTTAGAAGGGAACACCTAATCCACAACTGGGTCTGGTGTTTATAAAGGATGCGTGTTTGCAATGAGGCTCACTGTTAGGTATGGTGGAGGACCTATAATGCTGTGTCTCTTTCATGAGCCAAAGAAATCTTATCAGATTGCATGGTATCTTTGATCTTGATTTAAACAAAGCATGTTGTCCATATTAAAATCGGCAACCGGATGAAAACCAAATCCTCACAAAAAATGCCCTTTGACAAAAAAAAAAAAAAAAAAAAAAAAAAATGTACTCTTGAATTTCTCATTCCAATACCTAAGACCTGTAGAAAACTTATAAAGTGAATTCAGGAGAAGAATTCATGACCGAGGACTTAACTCTGTTCACACTAACCTTTTGTTATGTTATAGAAGACTGAACTATTTACAAAGATTCCACAAATTTTAGAATGATATTTTATTGTCCTGAAGTATAGAAATATGGGGGTTTTCATCAGCAAATTAAGGGAACTGAAAAAAAGCAGCTTACAGTTCACATGTGTGGCATAAAACAGAAAAAGCGCTGTCAATTAAAAACAAAACTATTTGTTAATAAGGAGTTTCCCCTCACTGAATGTAGTCAAATTTAAAACTTTGATTTAAAAAGAAAAACACTTTGAAAGTTTCCTTACACCAATTGTCAAGCCGATTTTGGAGATGTGGACCATGTAGATGTAATAGAGGCACTATTTAAAGAAGATAACATTTCATAGCAACAAACAGCGTGTTATTGTTACTCTTAGAGTGAGAGATTTAAGACCTAACTTTTATCTTATTCCCTAAAGTCCCTTCGTAAGGTAAAATACCCACTTGATTTTACTAAAAATAGGTGTTCCACCTTGGTGTCATGGGAAATTTCTCTGACTAATGCATTCATTACTGTAAGAAAAGAATCTGCATAGTGACAAGAAAGCAAAAAGGAATGAAGATGGACGCTGTGTTTAGTTAAAATGCCTGCATTCAAAGGAGAATATAGGATGAAAGCATGAGCTAAAAGGAAAAAAAAAGGGAACAAAGGAGAAAACCCTCTGATGTTTAGAGCTGGGGTGAGAAGACTGTTGAGGGAGATGAAAATGAGGGTTTTAGATGAGGTTTTAGGTGTCCTCCCAGTACAAAGGAAGGCATAGAAGGAGATGAAGAGGAGTTTGTGGAGAAGAGGATGGTCGGATCTTGGATTTAGTAGGGTGGAAAAAATTGGAGGAGAGGGTTTGCAAGGGGGGAGACAAAGGGGGTTAAGTTATCCATTTGAAAGGAGAGCCGACAGCGGTGGCGGAGACATCAGAGGAAGATGGGGAAGAAAGATATTACTGCCCCTGCTACTACTACTGCCGGCAATGATTAGGATTGGGCATCGAGGTTTGTTTGAAGCAGAAGAGGGGGAATCAGGAACACATGGAAACAGAACAGGGGGGGATGTGAGGAGCGAAGAACTG